ACATTTGAGGATGCCATCAACTCCAACTAGCTTTGGCTTCTCTGTCTTTTATTTTTCATTTCTCCATCATATCGTTGTTTGGAAGTTCTGCCATCATTCTTTCTCTGCATATGATTAAACTATCTGAACATATTCATTTCAATGTCTGATCATCATTAATATTCCTTATACACTTAGCTATAAATACATTTATTCCTTTTTCAGTGTTACTAATTCCTTATTAGTGGTTACTAAGCATTCCATATACTATTAAGTAATACAACTATTCCAGAAGCAAACAAATTTTAACGCTTCTTAACATGCATCTGCAGCCTTACCATTTTCAATATTCTCACAGAATTTAGAACTTCCTTCATTTATTTATTTTCTTAAACATTTTTTTGTTATGGTTCCACCCAGCAACGTACCACTATTGTTCCCTAATAAAATAGTTTCAGAGTTATTTCAGTTTCATCCTAAATTATTTCACCACTTTTATTCTTGATTCCATTCACTCTGGATTCATCCACTGGAGGCTCCTTATTTAGTTCTTTCACCAAATTCCAAAACAATTTTCCTTCTATCGATATTGCTCTGCATTTTGGTTCTGGTTTACTTTGACTACATTCTTTGGAAGTACATTTTTCTTTTTATACACATTGTGCAATGTATTTCCTTGTCATTTTTGCACCCATCATTTTTCTATCTATGTTTTTTTCTTCATTCATAGTCTTGTCCACTTCATCTTCCAGCAGACTGTTGTGACAGTCTATAACTTTTCTTTTTTTTTCCAAGTAACTTCTACATGTTCTTTCTGTCTACTTCCACTTATTGTGATATTAATCTATTTTCCTTTGTTCCTTGCAGATTTACACTTTCTCTTCTTGCAGTCTTATTTTATTCTAGAGTCTTTAACATCTTTTCTACTCTTAGATGTCGAATTTGTGCAAAAAATTATTCTGTTAGAACCTCTCGTCATGGTGTCCGTTATTAAGTCTTTTAGTCTTTTATCACAAACTAAAATATACCATGCTTTTCAAAGCATTCCTTTTTCATGTGTAGGTTATCAACAGGTTTAAACTTTAACCATGTATTCCAAGGACATTTTTTCTTAAAGCCAATATACATCAAATCATCAGACATTCATTATTGGGTGTCAAAATAACCTAGTTATTTTTTTTATATTATGCATTCTTTTCTCATTCAGTTCAGCTAACAAAAAACACTTTTTCCCTTGGTTCAAATTCATTCAGAATGTTGTATATTTCTCTTCCTCTCCCCATCCATTCATCCTTGGTTCCCCCCCCCCCCCATTTTTCATTATTACAATTCACTGGAATTTAACATGAAAGTATCACCAACTTACGGATTCTACCTTCACTCTCATCCACAATAATTATAGCCATTCATATTTTCTGACATATCTTTTAGCACTTTTAGTCATGGTTAAACCTCATGTTACGAGTGTTTTCAGGATTGCTGTGGCTACTTGATCAGTCACAAACAGTATGGATCCAATCAAGCCATCTCCTGTTTGCAATTAACTGCAAGCCTTCCCCGCCCTAGTTAATTGCAGGTTAACTCCCCATATAAGCACGGACCTTTCTGCTTGCTACTTGGGCCTGAACGCTGTTTAGGCCTAGATGCAGAGCCAGTGCTGAAGCACCTGGACGCAGAGCCCAGAGCAGAGCTGCAGAAGGGAGGAGAACTCAGATAAGGAGTCCTGATGGCTGCAGCAGAGATAGCAGCAGAAGAGGAGCCAAACAGATGTGTAAAGATACTCCCACGGAGCTAGCTGCAACTATGAGTTGAGATAGTTGGGAGCCTTTTGAAGTCTCCAATTTCGGCTTGCCTTTTGCTGAGTTGAAGCACGCAAGCCAACATCTGAACTGTTGCTGCTGGACAGTTTCCCTCCCAGGAGCTTCAAGCCACATTTGCTGATTGAATTGTTTTTTACCGGTGACTTTTAGCTGTGAAGCCTACGCTGCTGCCCTTCTACCACCTCGATGATCTATCGACACCGAAGCTGCTTAATGTCATCTTAGTTTTTTTCCTTATGGACTGTTTCGGTATTGTGGAGAGGAATTTAGGGAGATGGCTTGGCTTCATTTAACCATTTGTTATTAATGTGCCTTTTTAAAGATATAGTGTTTTTTAAACATTTTGAAGTAAAGTATATTTTTATACAAGACTCCTCTGTTAGTTTTATTTCAGTCCTAGTGCGTTTGCTCGTGAGCTGGTTCACAGTTTGGGGACAAACCTCAACCCCATCCTGACACCTCAACCTTCACTTCTCTGCTTGTATTTATTAAGTCCATCTTTATTCAGCTCTATTGCACCTCTTCTTTTTCTTAGTTTCACAGGCAACATACTAAAAAAAAATCAGTAATTTATTGCTATCTACCATCTTCTGTGGCATTGATAAAATTGAGGCTTTCAAATGTATGCCTTCTAATAAGACAGAAAAGGTATATAGTAGATTATCAATTTTAATGATACCCATGCCATATACATTAGGGAATATCAGTCATTTTGGCTACAACTGGAATGAAAATCCAGCCTTACCCCTTATAAATAAATCTATTCTATGCAAGCTACAATCTTTATTCTAGATACCACCTTGGAACCCAGCATATTGATGCTCACAGTTCTCCAACTAGGAGACATATGGAGGATATTGACATACATTCAGAATGTAGCACTATTCATTCCATATAATGAATCTTTTAGAAATCTCTGATAGCTCCTGCAAGTTACTGCAAACTTTCATTGCAAACCTGACTGCAGAAACTCATTTTGCTTTCAGAAATAAAATCAGACAATTTGATGAAAGGCAGAATTGAAAGACAGCAATTAAGATGATTTCACAGAACTGCTTAATTGAATGCATCCCATGGTTTGGATCTTGGATTCCTCTGGCAAAACAATTTGCAGTTTAAAAGATGGGGTAAAAATCATGACAGTAGTTTTTGTTTTTAATAAAAAACAATGTTCAAAGGAAAGAAGAACAGCAGGAGCTGAAATCCATTTTTTTTCTTAGTAGAATGTACACCATTTTCTTGAGATGATGTTAAAACATATTTCCACATATTACTTGCTGAAGACACATTCATATAATTAATTGCATTTATAACTTCCTAGCTGACTGTGATGCTGACAAGATCTACATATACAAAATGAGTATGTTATGACGAGAACCAATACATAGTGAACATTTCAATTATTTTCTTTCCACGTAATTATAATTCTCCCAGCATAAGTATATATATATATATTGCACTCCATCAATGATTACTACCCAGATAAAATCATAGTACAGTTAAACTTGCTTCAATGGACCATGGCTTAACAGGTGTAGGATCATGTTTTTCATGTGGCTCCCAATCCCACTAAAATATGTTTAAATTAAGTCTGCTTGTTAAATGGACATTTTACTGCAAATGATGCTTTTTATACCAATTATGTAATTATGTAAATTGCTTACATTTGTATTTAATGGACAACTGGAATTAATGGATATCCCTCTGTCTCAATGGTTCATTAAATCAGAATGTTACCATAGGCTTCTGTTTTGCTTTTTTGTTTTTATTCCAGTCACCAGGTCCTCTCTTAGGTTACTGCAACAGCCTAGATCAGTGATGGCTAATGTTTTTGCCATCGCATGCCAAAAGTGGGGGGAGCACAAGGGGTTGCGCACAAGCGTGCCCACACCCATAACTGAATGCCCTACTGCGTCCCACCCCCCCATGCATGTGCGCGTGACCCCACTTCACTCCCCTCACTTTTGGCACGCAACGGCAAAAAGGTTACTGGTGGGCCCGGTAGACCTGTTTTTCGCCCTCCCCAGGCTCCAGAGGCTTTCTTGGAGCCTGGGGAGGACAAAAATGGCCTTTCCCACCTCCCCGGACGCCCTCCGGAGGCCGGAAATGGTCTGTTTCCCGACTTTTGGTGGCCCCAAAAGGCCCCAAAATCAGCTGGCTGGTGTGCGTGTGCATGCTACAGCTGAGCTAGGGCAACGCTTGCGTGCCCACAGATATGGCTCCGCTTGCCACCTGTGGCACGCATGCCATAGGTTCACCATCACGGGCCTAGATAATTATCTCATTTTATACTACTTGCCCAGAATTTGCAACTATCATTGGAAATTTCTACTGTCATGATTCAGCCTGGCACAATTCTAAATCCAAAATCTTCCCTTATTCTAGAATTGGCACCACTTAGCCAGTGTAGATACTTTATTGCAAAGAAGAATGAAGCCAACTACAAAATAAAAAAATAAAAAAAAATAAACCACCTCCTTGTTGTAGGAGAGAGCACTCACGCCCTATCTATCCCTGTGCTGCAGGGATTAAATGTGAAGCTTTTTCTTCCTGTCTTTCCAAGTTAATGGTTCTTTGGCTGTTATCTCAAGGTCATAAAAAAATCTGAGATTTGTTGACATAATGATCATTACCGGCCTGAGAAGTTTTGGACTCATCATGGCAGCTTTATTTCTAACATCTGTACATCCAGGATTTCAACGTTAGGAACGCTGCAGTTATAAAATCACTTCCTAGATTGGGGTCACAACAATACTTCCTTTATTATGCTTCATTAGACATCATAATTGCGGGTTTTAAAAAATACTTTTCTTGTAATGAAAACTTTGGCTCCTATTTTTGTAGTTTTATTTTGCTTTATTTTTTTGTATCACAATATATATATATATATCACCATGAGTGGGATGATTTATAAATATATCAATTAACTAAATAAAATAAATAATTATTTATAAACAGCCAGTTAACTAAATAAAATCACTTGGTATAAATACAAAGCGCAGATCAAATTCTGAAAAAATAAGCATCTGTTTTCTGGGGAGGGGGGAAAAAAGCATTTTCTTTCCATTCCCATTACCAATATATTAAAAGTTTCGCATTTTAATTGTACTATATTATTGCATAACTTTATAATATTTCTAAAGTCTATCATTATAAACACTAAAATATTTTCCTCTAAAATTATTTTTAAAAATTACTTACCAGGTGTGAAATTGTACTGTGCAGAAAATCCTACAGATTCAAGTTCGCCATCAGCAAAAAATTTAATCCACAAGAATCTGCCACTGGATTTTATTTTAGGTGGATTTTGCTGTCCACAGAAACGGCCAATTATTGGAGAAAATCCAAAAGGTCCATCTCGCACTTCAATATGATCAAATTTACACTCCCAAGAAGGCTCTATGGAATATTTCTCATCAAAGTGCAACTCAATACATTGTCTTGGGGCAGCTGAAAAATAAAACAAAGCCTTTCCATAATTTTATGCACTGAAATGTATTTGCTTCCAAATGGGCTGTTTTTAAACCTATGCACCGCAGTATTTTATGGGTCTTGAGGTTTTATTCAGGCAAAGAAACTTACTCTACTCAGAGCTATTATTACTAAGCACAAACATAATGCATTTCAATAATCATATCAGTTGGCTTTCCTACTAAACTTTTTAAACTTTTTTACTTTTTTAAAAAACTTGGATTCTGCATTGCAGGACAAGTAAAATTGGTAACAGTATGGCCCAGTTGCTAAAAAAAAAAACGTGCATAGGCATCTACGTCTTCCTTTGCTTCTTCTTTTCCTGCAATTATTATTTTTTTCTTTAAAGAGATTTACAAAGCAAAGAAAATGTATATTTGTTTATTTGAAGAGCTGTGATGGCGCAGGGATTAGAATGCAGTATTGCAGGCTAACTCTGTCCACTGCCAGGAGTTCGATTCTGACAGGCTCAAGGTCAGTAAAATGAGGACCCAGATTGTTGGGGTAATATGTTGACTCTGTAAACTGCTTAGAAAGGGCTGTAAAGCTTTATGAAGCGGTATAAGTGGTATTGCTAGTGTTGTTTGTAATGGCTGGCCTAAGTAGCAACTACATTCAGCAACATCTATGTTTATGTTTTTGTTGTAGCAATAGAATCCTACAGTGATAAAACTGCTTGTGAACCTTGTAGACCTACCCTTTAGTCTTGCTGTACTGTGACCTTCAGTATGATCTTGAGCCTCATCTAAATCTCATTCATACATAAGATATTCCAGTTAAACAAACAAGACCCAAAACTATCCATTATGGTGCCATGTTTTCACTAAATTTCAAATAGTTCTAAAAGATTCATAAACTTTGTTCCTCTCATATAAATATATATTACCGCCATAGTGCAGCACTATTTTGTCAAACACTGCTGAAATTTCTCAACTTACAGAATTTTCAGCACATTTTCTGATCCATTAAACAGCATAGGAATTGAAATCCTATTCTACAATGGTAAAGCAGAAGTAATGTTGAAAGAAAACTCAAATACTGGCTCTTTAGCTTTTTTTAAAAAAAATTGTAGCCCAAATATAGCTGCCTAACGAGCTTGCTTTCACAAATTTGCATGCTTTCATGTTTAACCAAATGGAAACATTAAAAGTGATTAAAGAGATGTTAACTTGGTAACATTGTAGATTAGATTTATGCTCGATTTCTGCTGGGGACTTGTAGAGAATTCTTCCCTTTATCTAAAGCTTAATGTGAAAACCAACATCTTTTGAACTGGCTGCATCCTATTCCCACATACAGGTTACATCTGTCATTTGTCAAATGCAGAAGCCAAAACCAGATTACATTCTTTATGATCTGGCTTTTGCAATCTATTTGGTAATGAAAAACAAAGCAAATGCACTGACATTTTGAGTCACTAATGAATCACGCAAATGTGCTGCGCTAACAATGGAAGAATTTTCAAACAATGGAAGACGTCCATATATGGAAATGTCATTTGTTCTCCTCATTCTCCTGCTTCTCTTTGTGACCCATTTGTTCTTGAGAATTAGGAAACCCTCTAGAACAGCAAGGTACAGTAGGTGTCATTGGGAATCACAGCAGGATGCAGAAGCTTCATACTAGTTTCATGTCAGCTTAAGTATCCTGGAAGATCTTAGGTATTGTTCAGGAAGAACTTCAGCCAATGGAAACAAGGTTTGCATTTAATATTTCAAGTTAAAAATGCATTTTAATTTCCAGGATTGTATCTCTGACAGATAAACCAAAGTAGACATACTGCACATGTTAGTGTTCATTGAACTGCATGCACAGAGCAGCATTCTAGAGATGTTAACTATCAAAGTATTTCAACTTTCATGTGTAGAATCTGTTCAATTAAAAACTGGATTTCTGGATAAACAAAACAGATTGAATTACTGTGAAACACTAAGAACCTTCCACGCTCTCGGTCAAGGTTCACACAATAAAAAGCAAGAAACAGATAATATTAGATTTGTTCTAAAAAGCTTTCTCTTTATCACTAAAATTTGGACTTTTTTAAAAAAAATCACAAAAAGGATATCTATTTTAATGAGGACGATCATTTTTCTTCTTATGCAAAATAATACTAGGCTCAAAATAATTATGTGATAATTAATGCAAAATCTTCAGTAGTTAGTTGATTGCAGCAAAGTTGGAGTTTAATGCAGTTTAGTGATTATGCTGATTTTGCAGTTCAGGTACAGTAGACTATTCCAAGAAATCTTGCTTAGGTTTTACTCCCTGACCTTTCCTAACCATCATCTCTAGCTCTCCAAGAGCAATTTTACCACGCTGAAGGAGAATCACTGCAGATATCTGCACCCATCTGTAACATGGGCCAGTACGTACACACACCTAAAACACACACCTACACCAATGTTTATCTATTCATATTTATTCATTCATTCTACCAGCCCATATTGCAAGTGTCATCTCAGAAAAAAGATATGTTTCTTCTTTCATCTCTAGCAATAGTAAAAGCAAAAAGGCAAGAAAATGTTGCAAACTACAGTGGCTGTGTGGTACAGCTGTTCTGCAATGAGCTTTTACTACTTGAACTCTTAGCTATCTTTTTAATTTAGGTTCTAATTACCTTTCTTCAAAGAGTCCTAATAACATGGAAAAGATAGCTTAATGCCTGCATGTCTTGTCATCTTTTTCATCTAATTATCTTATAGAAGTGCTGCCTTGAGGTTTTACATCTGCTTAAAATGACTTGGGGTTCTAACAAGAAACAGAGGAATAGATGCAATGAAAGAGGGACATACAATTAAGGCTTTAATTTTTACCAGCCTGTAATTTTATGTAGCTGACAGCTGAAGCTAAGCAAAAAAAAAAAAAATCTATTTCATTTTAACAGAATGGCTGGAAATGAAAGATTGATCTAAACATCTTTCCTGCATAACTGGGAGCCAGTGTCACACAAATGGATTGGAATAATTCTTGATATCTCCCATTAGTTAGCAGTGAGCAACCTAATAAAAGGAATTTAGAATTTAAAATACTTCATTGCTAAATGAAACTCAAAATCTAAAACAGCAATAAACATCCATTTTGATACAATTTAGATTTGCTACAATGGACAAAATTGAATTCTCCTTTTTTCTTTCTTTCTTTCTTTTTTTTTTTTGCAACAGTCTGAAGTTAGAATCCAAGCTCTTTGATTTTTAATGCATTCTAAGCAAATGTTAAATTCTTATTTAGTATTTACATGTATTTACAGTATTTACAGGTATTACAGCAAAACTATACAGACTGCTACTAAGCTTTGAACTGGATAACAATGAAAGGTTAAAGTATGGGAAATACAATTAAGAGTTAAATTGAGGTAATGATAAAATTTTCTCTCGTTCAGGAACCCTATTTTCTTTATTCCCAAAATTTTAAAAAAGCATGCTAGACCAAGTTATTTCTTCATATTACACATTATTTCACATCATATAAAAAAATAAAAACTTTTTTTAGAAAATATGATGTTATTGTAACATACTGCTGTCTTTATATAGATATGACTGAGAACAAAACACTAAATCACCACCAATATTTCAGCTAGGACTTTTAAAATTATTATTTATTTATTACTTTTTTAATTCTACATTTATTACTTCATAGTAACTCAAGCTGGCAAACATACTTAATGTTCCTCCTCATCCTGTTTTCCACACAACTCAGGTTGGACCAAGTAACTAACCCAAAATCACCCAGCCAGCTTTCTGGCTAAGGTGGAACTAGAACTCACAGCCTCAAAGCAGAGAATTAATATATTTGTTATAAAGAGCTGAAGTTCTTTGGCTGAAGTTGTTCAAGCACAACTACAGAAATAAAGGAGAGAATCAGTACTATAAAAAGGTGGATCCTAACCCTTTTTGAAAAATATAATTTATGAATTACAACCATAATGAATAGGATTTGTCCAATATATTTGGAACAAGTTCGTGTCTTTTTCAAATATTCAAGATATCTACTACCTAAAGAAATTCAGAACCTTTGCTAATAAAAAATAAAAATAAGTACATTTTCAAAGTTACTATACGGATGATGTAACTGACTATACCCTACAGGTATAGTCCTCGACTTACAACCATTATTTAGTGACTATTCGAAGCTACAAGTTAAGAGCCATGGTGGCGCAGTGGTTAGAATGCAAAATTGCAGGATAACACACTGCTCACTGCTAGGAGTTCGATCCAGCTCAAGGCTGACTCAACCTTCCATCCTTCTGAGGTCAATAAATTGAGGACCCAGATTGTTAGGCAATATGCTGACTCTGTAAACTGCTTAGAGAGGGCTGTAAAGCCCTGTGAAGCAGTATATAAGTCTAACTGCTATTTCTATTGCTAGAATGCCACACTGAAAAGTGACTTATGACTGGTTTCACACTTACGACTGTTGCAGTATCCCTACAATCACATGTTCACAATTTGGGTGCTTGGTAACTGACATGTATTTATGACAGTTGCACTGCTCCGGGGTCATATGATCACCATTTATTACCTTCCCAGCTGGCTTCTGACAAGAAAAGTCAATGGGGAAAACCAGATTTGCTTAACAACCTCATGAGCCACCTAACAACTGCAGTGACTCACTGAACATTGGTTAAAAAAAAAAAAGGACATAAAATGGGGCGTAACTCACTTAATAACTGTGTTGTTAGCAATAGAAATTTTGGGCTGAAATTTTGGGCTCAGGAACTACCTGTAATAATTTTCAAATATATATTTTTTAATAAAACTGTAATTGAACAATAGGAGCCAAAATAATCTTTGTTTCAAATAACAATATTTATATGTGAGAGGAATGAGGGAGTATTATCATTTAAGTAGATAATTTTATATATGTGCATTTAGATTAGCAAACCTCCATCATGATGTCCACAAAAGTAAAAGAATAAGTACCATAAAAATATGATTTTCTGCTAATTATATATAGCTTCCAATCTCTTAGGGGTCTCTATTTTGTGATGAAATTGGTATGAGTTTAAAGCAGTCCATGTAAGGAAAAATAACGCTACCTATCACATTTTAAAAAATACTTTAAATGTTTTAGCAACCCTGGAACTATCTAATGTGAACATCATACAAACATATTTCTTACAAAGAATGATTTGGCGAGAACTTCCTGTTGATACACTTTGTGACTGACCTGGATTTGCTGCCAATAATTCTGAAATATTGCCAAAAGTCTAACCATATTATGAAACATCCCATTTCTTATAACTCAAAAACAACCACAAAAAATTAGAGTGATGTGTAACAGCATTAATCTTATTGTCAAATTACTGAGTCTAAAAATGGAAGAGAATGCTTTCTATTTAATTATCAGCTTGCAAGCTTCTGCGGAGTCTTTCAGAAACATATGCATTTTCTATGAATACAAAGTTTTCATACGATGTCCCTCCCCAAAAATGAACATTTATACATTCTTACTAGATAGATTAAGCTCGTGTTTTTGAACCGGTTAAGTTTAATAATCATAAGTAGAACAATCAAAAAGAGAGAGAGAGAAAGGAATGTCTTAAATTACCTTCTATAATATAGACACATTCTCTGTCAGGAGGATATTTGTTGGGGTAATTCGGGGAAGTGAAAATACCTCCTTCTGTGTATTTTGTCCACACTCCACACTGAACTGTCTTTTGTCCTTCTGAACTGCTTTGCTTTTCTGGAAAAGAAGGAGGGAAAGGAAGATGAGATGTTTTGGCTTAAATACATAATGTGTAACCACTTGCTTTCACCTGTAGTCTGCTACAACTTCCTACTTATACCATAGGATCAGGGTCTGTGTTTATTAATCCAACCTCAAAGATGAGATCTTCTTTTTCCACAGTTACACAAGAAGGAAGAAATGCCAAGTGTAAACTTTTGGAAATGCTTTGGGACATTAAACAGGAGTTTGCTAGTGAAGCCTCATAGGGCAGTCAAAATTATACTGAATACCAGAAAGGGCATTTCAAAGGAAAATGGGGGTACTTGGTGCTCTCTGAGCTTGGTTGTTTTCTTTCAGATGTTTCATTATGAAACTAGGTAACATCATCAGTGCTAGCACAGTGCCTATACCACTGATGATGTTACCTAGTTTGGTAATGAAATGTCTCAAGAAAACCATCAAGCTCAGAGAGCACCAAGGACCCCTCAGTTTAACAAATATTTTCTTCTATCAGCTATAAAGAAATACAAGATATCAAACAGAATTTTAAAACAATAACAACAATGGCAGAATCTGCAAGAACAGAACACAGCAGGGTAGGATGATATATAGTTATAGTCTTATTTTTCTGCCTGAAAATAATATAGTGTGCATGTATAACCGATGCAAAGTTATGGTATTTCTAGAAAAAATAATTACTGATTACTGATACTCTCACATATAACAAAATATCAAGATTTCATCATACTCCAGAAACTGTATGTTAAAGAAGGAACTGCATTATAAATAAAAAATATATAACTCTACCTATATACAATCCCCCCAAATAGCATGGCAACACAACTGAAAGAATCTGATCTGATTACCAACCATCCAATCAGGAAAAGCTACGGATGACATTTTCCAAAATCAAATTAGAGAATGTTGTAATGGTAATGAGAAGATTTAATTTCAATGTTATCTGGTAAAATGCAATTGCCACATATGGATTTCCAGGAAATTCCTGTTTGGTTTTGATTACAAGATTTTATAAAAAGAAGAAAGCAATTGGATTTCTTTGATTTGATGTAATGTGATTTAACCAATAGGGAAAAAAAGTTAGTAATATGAAAGGATTTATTGGAGGAGGCAATCATATGATGGTAGAGTATTTGACTTAAGAAATATAAAGACAAGTGAAAAAAATATTCCTTGGGCTGCAAGGAAAGGTGATTTGAATAAACTCAGAACAATGATAATAGACTGTTCTTGCATGAAAAATTAATAGAATAAAAGTTTGATATTAATGGAAGTTTCTAAAAAAGGAAATATTAAATATGCAATCATAAAAAATTCCAATTAGAAAGGAAAAGGAGAAATAAAGGAAGTCCATGCAGCAGCACAAAAAGCTCATAAGCAATCAAAAAAATGAGAAAGGGCACATATAGAAGGGACAGGAAAGACTAATTATGAAAGAAGGGCAGATACAAGAAACCCAGAATTGCAAAGATTAAGTGATGACCAGAAAAAGTTGTCTTTACATATATGCAATTAAAAAAGGAGCAGAAAACTGATTGTATAAGAAATTGACAAATTGTTCAGAGGTAATATAATTTTTTTCCCTCAGAAAAAGATCTGTTTCTATTAAACAAGCATGATGAGGTGATTGCACGGGCAGGCCAAAAACTTCAAAATGACAGAAAAAATCTTAGGGAGTATCTAAGAACTTTTCAGTAAAGTTCATTTCTTTTGTTCCAAATGAATAACTTCCTAGGCACTGAAGGAATCTGTTCACAGATTCTCAGACTACATTTTGAATTTAGGAAAACCTACAAAACATGAAATGTCAGCAGCCAAAAAAAGGAAAAAGAAACTATCCCTGTCTTCAAAAAGAGTGAAAAAAAGAGTCAAACAGAGAAGATTCAGGATATTAGTCGATCTGTAAATCTCATGTCAGTAGGTTGGAAAACTCTACAGCACATAAAGAAATTCAATTCCTAGAAATCCTACAGGAAACATGGACCGTCAAAAATAAAGCCTACCAGGTTAATTACAGTAAATCATGGGAAAGCTGAGGACATAATGTATCTTTAATTCAGTAAAACATTTTACAACATACCTAAGAATATTCTGATTAATAGGTTTAGGTTTAGGTTTATTTGATTTGTATACCGCCCTACTCCCGAAGGACTCAGGGCGGTGAACAGTCAACAATAAAATACATAAATACAAAAAATTTAAAAACCAGATAAAATCAAATTAAATCATTTTGGCCCAGACAGATTAAAACACCCCAATAATTTAAAAACAGATTAAAATTTACATATTTAAAAAGGGAAGAAATTAGGCCAAGCCCGCCTGATGGAATAAAAAGGTCTTCACAGCACGGCGGAAGGAGCGCAGATCCAGGATCCTCCGTATCTCTGGGGGGAGCTCATTCCAGATGGTAGGTGCCCCCACAGAGAAGGCTCTCCCCCTAGGGATGCCAGTCGACACTGTTTGGCTGACGGCACCCGGAGGAGTCCCTCTCTATGAGAGCGTACTGGCCGGTGGGAGGCTATTGGTGGTAGTAGGCGGTCCCGTAAATAACCAGGTCCTAAGCCATGGAGCGCTTTAAAGGTGGTAACCAAAACCTTGAAGCGCACCCGGAAGACCACCGGGAGCCAGTGCAGCTCGCGCAGGAGAGGTGTTACATGGGAGCGCCATGTCGCTCCCATTACCACCCACGCGACCGCACTCTGCGCCAGTTGGAGCCTCCGGGTGCTCCTCAAGGGGAGCCCCATGTAGAGAGCATTACAATAGTCCAGGCGGGAGGTGACGAGGGCATGAGTGACCGTGCGTAACGAGTCCCGATCCAGAAAGGGACGCAACTGGCGAATCAGGCGAACCTGATAAAAAATCCTCCCGGTCACGGCCGTCAAGTGCTCTTCTAAAGACAGCCGTGAGTCCAGGAGGACGCCCAAGTTGCGAGCCCTCTCCGTGGGGGCCAATGATTCACCCCCAATAGTCAGTGATGGCATCAACTGACTATATCGGGACGTTGGAAACCACAGCCACTCAGTCTTGGATGGGTTGAGCCTGAGCCTGTTCCTCCCCATCCAGATCCGTACGGCCTCCAGGCACCGGGACATCACTTCAAGGGCATCGTTGGGGTGATCCGGGGTGGAGATGTACAGCTGGGTGTCGTCAGCGTACTGATGGTACTCCACCCCGAAACCACGGATGATCTCGCCCAGCGGCTTCACATAAATGTTGAACAGGAGAGGCGAGAGGACCGACCCTTGTGGCACCCCACATATGAGGGGCCTCGGGGTCGACCTCTGTCCCCCTGTCAACACAGACTGCAACCGGTCAGAGAGAAAGGAGGAGAATCACCACAACACAGTGCCTCCCACCCCTAACTCTTCCAACCGGTGCAGCATGATACCATGGTCGATGGTATCAAAAGCCGCTAAGAGATCTAACAGGACCAGGACAGAGGAGCACCCCGTCCCGAGCCCTCCAGAGATAATCAACCAATGCGACCAATGCCGTTTCCGTGCTGTACCCGGGCCTGAAGCCCGACTGGAACGGATCCAGTTACGTCGTTTCATCCAGGTGCTGGGGGAGCTAATAAGCTAGTTAACTCTGTTATGTGTGGCAATAGTACTAGATAAATTACATATAGGTGAAAAAACTATTCAAAGTATACTCAGGCAACAAGTATTGAAGGTAATTTATACTTCCTAGTTCCTTGCTGTAATCTATATCTGTAGACAGGAAGGAGGATGAGTTTACTTACTTTCAATCTTTATACAAGTGGTCCTTGAATTATGACCACTCATTCAATGACCATTCATACTTGTGACAGCAGTGAACACAAGGGGAACTTATCCTTGAAGTTCTGGATGTTGCAACATCCTCAGGTGATGTAACTATGATCTGAGCCTTCAACACCTAGCTCATGGTTATGTCTCAGTTTCTGACATTACCTGCCAGTTTCCCACAAGCAAAGCCAATACAGAAGCTGGCAGGAAATCAGAAATTTCGTTCCCATGAAGTCTTTGCTTAAGAATAGCAACCGAATGCTGGAACTTTTGTCGCTAGGTGGTGAAGTTATGTAATTCACACTTTACTAATGGATCAATTAGCAACAGCAGTCCTAGTTCTAATTGCTGTTGCATTCTGAGGACAACCTATAGCTCTTGGTCTGAGGTAGAAATTTGACTAGCTGTACTTCATAGACCTATAAATTATATCAGATTAGAATTACATTGGATATTTAGGATTCCAACTGTACTAAAATAGCATCAAACAAATTACTTGTTAAGAAAGCTTCATATCTGTGTTATGTTTGCAGTTTTTAATTTTGTCAGAATCATTTTTCAGCAATTCTATATCTTTAGGAATCCATCTTTTAGATGAGCTGATAGGCAATACTGGTTACATAGTAATTAATATTTAAAATTGGCTGAGTTCACAAATCACATTAATCCAGAATGTGGCAGGTTTAGTTTTCATTGTGATTTGTAAACCGAGACTTTGCAAAGAAGGTTTTATAGTGGAACACATGTTTTAAACCAGTCAGTTGTTTCCTCTGTAAACTTTGGGGGAAACAAGATTTGGCTTAGTTAAATTTGTGAATCAGATCAGAAAATTCTTGCTACTATTACTTTATATTCCAGTTGACTTACTAATAGCATTTAAAAAATATATATATCTGTGAGTTAGGAATTCCATTTGTATTCTTAGCCAGAAAGGAACTGTTGGAGATGAAATGCTTGTTTTGCATTTGAAAGTAGCAGCAGCACCTGTTCATTCATATTTCCAGCCAAGAAGCATAGATGTTTGCAATGTCACCAATCCATCTTTTTACAGAAATGTCTGCAAGCAAATATTCAAGCTCAGACAGCACCAAAGACTCCATAGTTCAACCGTAAGCTACAAATATTCTCTTCTATTGTACTAGATCACTTTCTATGTCTTCTGAGCTTGACATTCATTGATTCCATAAATGTAATCATCCGTTTCTAAGTTTACCAACTGTAATATAAGTGTTGGCCAGGATGTGATTGAAATGTTACTTATTTTAGGGTCCAATTTTTAGGATCTTATTTTACCTGTTTTGGCCTCCTGATTCAAACAGAAACATGCTAGACCTGCAGCTGCATTGGAATTCAGAAAATTTATTCATTAATTTTTGGCTAACATGTTTCAGTGCTGATCTACATTTGGAAATAAGATGTGTTTTCAATATTAAATGTCATAGTCTGCTTTATTTTAAACTATTTTAAACCTGTTCAGAACAATAAGCACTACAATCCCCCCCTCTTTACTAAATTGTTTGAGAAAAACATAAATCATTTCAAGTTTTAAACATTTTTAAACAAAACCAGTTCAAAGGATTATTTTCTTCTAAAAACATACCTGCTCCTTTTTTTGTTGCCCCAGCACAGTGTAGGATGATAAAACTTGCTACAACTGGAAAATAAAAACATATTAGTTGAAATAAGAAATTAGTTAGGACAACCCTATCGTTAACCTTAATCCAAAGTAGGAAATGATAAAGAAAGAACAAACGGTATATTTTGTTTGGCTGTACTTATTTTTTATAAGAACATAGTAATCCTAAATATGTGGTTACATATTCATAATAAAAGCCACACAGCAAAAGGAATAAATAGACTTATCTTTTAAGCATGAAACATTTTGATTCATGAGTGCTCAGAATTTAGTAAGAGATACATTGAGGAGACACCATTTAAATACTGTATATAGCCAGAGCTGCAATCCTATGCTATTTTCATGGAATAAGTCTCAGGAAAATCAGTGGAACTTACTTCTGCATAAATCTACACTACAGATTTGAAAGAAAAAAAACTGGATGATATTTTATGAGATTTTGGTATTAACTATGTCAGTTATGTGCACACCAGATAGTTATAGTAGTTATAGTTATGGTTATAGTTAGTGATGACATTTAACTAGCCATAGGAATATTGAATAATAGTATATTGATGTATTTAGCCAGGCAATCTGTCCTCCCTCAGATGTTTCTGATATACAATTCTCAGCCATCTGATACCACTGATATAGTTTATTTATTAATTTAATTTAATTTATTTATTTGTCAACAAGTACAAGGAAACAAGTAACAGTATAGACATATACATGGACACATGAAAAAATTTGGCACAAATAAAAGAAATAAATAAGCAAACGTAGACATAAATACATAAAATGAGTACATATAAATGGGAACAGTAGGACATGGACAGTAGGCACACTGGTGCGCTTATGCGCACTCCCTTAGGGACCTCTTAAAAAACATGAAAGGTCCACGGTAGACAGTTTAAGGTAAAAGGTATGGGGATTAGAGAGACTAACAACAGGATCAGGTAGTGTGCTCCAGACATTTACTACTCTATTGCAGAAGTCATATTTCCTACAATCAAGATTAGAGCTAATTACATTGAGTTTGAATCTATTGATAGCCCTTGTGTTATTGCAGTTGAAATAATGTTTCTTAGTGCCTGCAAAAAAATGTAATACAAACAGCACAGAAACTTTTAAAACAAGTATTTCTTAATGGTATTCAAAAGCCTACTAGCTGGATGAAAGAGAATTCAACTGGCTGTTTATTAAATTCATTCATTGGATGACCTTGAAGAAATACTAAATATCAAAATGTAAACCATAGAAAGAGTTAATCCATTCACTGGATTATTACAGATTTTGATTGTAGGAAACTATATAATGAATGCTTTGTATGAATGACCAATTTTTAAAGCTCTCAAACCGAAGCTGGCATTGGTTCACAATGATTGAAGCTCTGTTTTAAAATGCGAATGCATGGAATAGTACTTTCAATAAGGATAAAATTTAGCATTTCTTTTCACATAAAATACATATTGGTAAATGGGCAACTTTACAGCACTTGCATTTCAAATTGTAATAGCTTTGTAGCTTAGTAACCTCCATTCACTGCAACAATTCATCTCTGAAGAGCATATAGACCATCCTATATACAAAGAATGCAAGTGTCATTTGTACATTGTATATCCTAATGCAAATGATATTCAGTAAGCAGCTATTCGGTGCAAACGACTCTTTGAATATAATATCAAAAGACATACCATTCTACAGAAATGGTGCTTATGCAACCATTACTTTGTCAAGTATTGTCTTTGCTAGCTTCCTACCTCAAATTGATTTCTTCTAAGTGTATGTTCATTATAGGGCTATCAGATCTGAGCTTCAAAACTCTTGAGTACTACTAGGTGAGAGTAAGGAAACAGAAAACAAAAAATATTAACTTTAATGTAGAGTTCACCAGATTTTTGCAGTCTGGATTGTTAAATCTAGTTCAGAAGGCTGGGCGCAAAACAATTTACCCTTATGCATTAATCTGACTGCAGAGCAGAAGAAAATGAAGGTACTACAGATGCTTAATATAATAGCCAGTGTAAAATAATTAGAAAGGCCAGGTATGTGAAATTATTGTTACTAGTACTGTTGATTTATTTCAGTGGAAAATTAATTTCTGAATTGGTAGTTATGTGCAAAATAGATAATTTGTCAAAATAGTTTCAACAGAACTTAAAGAGTTGAAAATGCTGTGCAAACATTTAAAGGGAAACTTCAATTGTAAACAGTAATATATATACATATGAGACAACATACATGCCCAACAGACCAAGTCACATTAAATCTTCAAGTTACTTGACTGTTTAGATTGTGCCAAGGAGTGGATTTTGAAGGACTTAAAGTGTCCTCCCAGATATTCAGAATGTTTTGTCCTTATTATGAGTGGCCAAACTAGCTAAAAATATTTGTTTTTTAAAAAAACAATATTAAAGACAGATAACACTGGAGAATAAGTGTTATCAGACTTACTGAAGTCTGCATTAAGATTTTAAATCAATTGATAATATGCTAGTTTGGAAAGCTCAGTATTAGGACTCCAGTTATTATTAGTTTGCAACTCCCAGTCATAGTTATTTGCAGTAGAGGTAATAGTGAATTCCTCTAATAGTAGAGGAAAGCAGAATTCTGTACCAGCTGAATCTTCTAGATAGTCTTCAAGGACAGTCTAATATAAAGCAAATGTTGAATAAAATGGAGGAGAGGATTAACCCTATACTGAAGTGCCTCATGGAACAATCTCTTTCTTATAGCCCCCAACTAGATTGGAACTACTCTTAAGTAAAATGGTGTCTTCCTACTGCTAACTACTGCTGATAGCCTACAAGGCTACCATGGATAGCTGCTCAGATTTTCTGCAGAACAGCTATTATCTCCCATCCCTACAATGAGGTGTTGATTATTCCCTAGAGCCAGGTCCCTGTCTCCTCCTTGGAAGATTTTGCCAGCTTTGAGAAATCGGGATCAAGTCTTCAAATGGTGGATATGGTCTCACAGAAAGCCCTATCTACTGCTTTTAGATACATAGCCTCATAAACCTCCCACAAAACATTCCAAGACATTACCTCTGCCATTTTAGAACTTGGCCATCATTTTGTAATCTTGACCAAGTTTGACTGAGATTATCCAAAATGTGTTGGGCTACATGGCCATAACAGTTGATGGTATCATGATAGCAATAATGCAACTGGTGTACTTGTGTCAGATATTGGAATGAAAACTTGTAAAAATGGTGTTTGTTTCATTATATTTTACTAGAAGAGTACTCAAATCCTCTGCTCGAAATAAAATTCCCTATACCAACAGGCTTGAAATTTTAGGCCTCGATAGCCTCGAACTATGCCGTCTATGTTCCGACCTAAGCTTAGTTCATAAGATTATTTACCAAAATGTCCTACCTGTAAATGAGTACTTTAATTTCATATATTTACAGCAGAATCAAGCTGGGTATTTAGAAAATTAGGTGAATAATAATAATAATGCACCTATTCAGTTCTAACATCTAGAGTCCACTGACATTGTTACACCAACTCTGTTGTGCTTTCATTGAGCATAATTTTCCCCTTTCCCCATTTATACAGGTATGCCAATCAAGAAATATGTGCACCTAATACAAAGTACGGTATATGCTGCTGAAGTTTAAAACTTATCTCTGATGTTCTGTACATCTTATGATCATAGCATTTTTTTTATTTTTGATGCATGTAAGCTACTTAAAAGCATTAATTTAAGGAAATCCTAGAAAAAATAATCTGCAGAATTTCTTCCCCTATGTATCCACTAGTGGCTTCATAGAATTAGCTGCCCCATAACTACTGGGAACTTAAATGTATCATTTATGAATTTTCTTTAGTTACAATCTTAGAATCCCATTACCACTTTTTCCTAGATCTTCCTCTTAGGGTGCCTTGCAACAGATCAGCAAACATTATTTAAAAGCGCTAGCAACTGCTAAGAAAAAAGAGGATAAGCAATATTCAGATAGCAATAGACTCATAGTGCTTTATAGCCCTCTCTTAGTGGTTTACAGAATCAGCATATTGCCCTCAACAATCTGGGTCATTTTAACCTTGGAAGGCTAGAAGGCTGAGTCAACCAGATCTTATATAACTGATTTGGTATGGCCATGGTACGCACTTCACTAATTCATTACCATTTACAAATATTTGTCATTGGGAACTTGTTACATTGATTCACTTTCCATAAGGCTGAACTGAAGCTTGATAGTACTATAAAGCTTACAAATTTCTCCATTTGTAATATTAAAAGATAAATCACTGAGAAGAGAGGGTCAACCTATTCTCCAAAGCACCTTAGAACATGACAAGTACTAGATGCAACTTGTCAAGGAGACAATGAACCTAGAACTAAGAAGAAATTTCCTGTCAGTGAGAACAATTAATCAGTGGAATGGCTTGCCTTCAGAAGTTGTGGGTGCTTCCTCACTGGAAGTGTTTAAGAAGAGATGGATAGTCATTTGGTATAATCTCTTCCTTGGACAAGTGGTTGGACTAGAACACCTGCAATGTTCCTTCCGAACTGTTTCAAAGTTATGTTGTTTTGGTCCTGAGGCCTGACAGGTTATGGTCCCTCAACTATCTACTCTTCGCATTTTTCCTCAAACCACTGTGGATACTTCTAGGATTCTAAAAACTTCTGTTCTGCTATCTAATACTTTAAAACTTCAAATTTCCTTGCCTTCTAATAGTACCATAGCAGCTGAAGAAGTGTTCTACTTTAAAGAAGATTTAGTTTATGCTTGGTCAATTCTGGTCCACATATGGTCCTCAGTACTTTTTGATATTACCTGCTATCTTGTTATTTTATTTATTATCCTCCTCTTAAAATGATGGAATCACAGCATTTTGTCATGCACAGTTCTTGGGCTTTTAATTCTGCTTCATAATCCTACCTTGGTATTGTAAGGGTTATAAAAAGATAATAAACTGTGCAGATAAGAAATGTCTGTACACAGATACCATTTCCAGTCTGTTGCTAAATGTGGTTTGGGGAACATTCTAGGTTTGAGACAATGTATGAATAAACTAGAGAAATAATCACTATTGTTACTAATCTTGGACTGGAACACCAGAGTTCTAAAACTTGTTTCCCCATAGTGGTCATTTGTTGACTTTACACCCTGACCGTGTGAGTTTGACACTCACAAGTTTGAAGCCCAGCCAACTTCAAGCTATTCCTTGAGCTTTTAGCCTCATATTGTAGAATTGCCCATATGTCCCCAAATCAATGCACATAGTTCTGTTAGTTGTCAAAGAACTTTAGTTGAGAGAACATAATATTCTGAGTTAAATATTATTTACCAGTATTTTATATTTCATAATACCAACATAACCCACTTTTCTTTGAAACAAAAGTTTTGTTTTGGAAGTCAGCAATATATTCTGAGACAAACACCACTGTATAATAAATTGATTGAACAAAAAGGTTTCTGTCCTGTCAAAAATGTATTTAGTAAGAAATACTGTTAAGAGAAAACTCTGCTATTAACTAAATGCATTATTCATCTTGGATTTCCAAAACACTTTAAAGAAATTTCAGGGTTTTGAAATTATATCAGTACATTTAAGAAACAGCGAAAGGAGAAAAATTGTGTATTTAGACAGGGGCCATAGGGGAGGGAATATACTTGAAGTCTACTGCTGTCATTTTATTTTCTTGTTCCTAAACAATAGCTGTCACCATGGAATATACTAAGTATTTAAATTTTATGTTTAAATAGGCAGACTGAGCATATGATATTTCCACAATTCCAAAACAAGAAAGAGAAAATCATGATTTATATGTTGTTCTTTCAAAGACAGATTCTGACATTTATACTATGAACTGGAGACTTCAGACAGAGAACTTTTTGTATTACCAATCAAAAGCCACTGAGCTTTCCTACTCCCTTCTGCTTCTCTGTCTTTAGTGAATGATTTGTGGTAAGAAAAGGAAGGAAGTTGAGGTGAGAAAGCAAAGTCACAAACAAAATTCTATAAATATAAACCAGAAATCTTGTCTGGAAACATCCTTGTTGAAACTCAAGCTACCTTCTGAAAAAAATCATAAACAGTATTAAAATATGTATCCCTCTTTGCTAAAGTAGGAAACCTGTGCTCAGTTATTCATGCCTAATTCCATTCACTGATATGAATCAAATTGTTACATTCTTAATGCTTTGAAACCTGATCAGCAATAAGCATCATGGATTTGTAGTCCAAAACATCCAGAGAATATCTGTTTGCCTCCTTTAACAAATATTTAGATGAAGGTTTATGTTTATATAGTGAAAGATGATTCAGTGTATATAAATGACATAAGATTTATTTAGATGTTCATAAGAAAAGCTGATGAGTAGTTTGCTATTGAATCATGTACTATATATTCATAATCATACTATAACATTCTTTGCAGGTTTACTTTGCAAAACGTTCTACCATGTTTATTCCAAAGTGTTAACAGAATTTAACCCTAAATTACTGAATTAGAATTACTGAAATAACTAAAATAATTCAAAGCCAGGATGATATCCCTCAGCTTCATCTACTTATGAAAAAATGGGCATAGTAATAACCAATACACTTGAGATGACTATTGATATGATGTAAATTAAAAGATATGGACACACCCCATTAAATTTAATGGCAGAATTATTTAATAGTAATCAAATGAGCTTAATATTGTTTAATGTATGACTCTATTTGCACATTATTGGAGAAATTATGAATCTTATTAGCTACCGAGCACTTGAATATTAACCAGATGGTTTTAACTACAAATAACTTTTTAAATTAAATTATTCACTTGACTAGAAATGAATTAATGCTAAATCCCTTTTCCTTTCATCTGATTATTTGCTATGACCTCCATCAAATAAAGTTGGAGAGAAAAGGAGAAAATGAACATCTTACTACTACCATCCTGACTCAAAAAAAATCCATTCACTATGCTTTGAAAGAAAGCAGTTTTCTTTTAAAGCCAAAATTAAGAATAGTACTGTCTCCATTTTCACATCCCATTCCCATTAAGCTTTCTGATTCACATCCTCCTTCAAGATACTAATGCTTGTCTGTACTGTATCCAGTGAGAACAGAAAAAAATAAGCTGAAAACAAATTTATCTAGGGGCCCATCACTGACCCTTCAAAAAAAATTGATCTTTTTAGTCAAATAAATCATGTATTAGAGGCAGTTTTGTACTACGTTTGCTGAGATGTGTTTAAACATATTTAACTTCATTATTTAATCTGGGTTATAAATATATTATTTCTGTTTATGGAATTGGATATGTAAGTACCATTAAATGAAAATATTTCTCTCAGTTTCCACTAGTATTTGTGAAAGCATGTAGCTTAATAAAGGATTATACCATACGACTTGAGAATTTTAAATACTGAAAGAAACCTAAGGAAAACTGTAACTTTAGAGCTAGTCAGTAATCACCAGCCAGTGACTTAAATGTAATAACAGGGCTTCCTGAAGGAGGAAGAATAGAACTACTCAAATCCAGCAGCCTGTTTTAATCCTGAATAATGTCAGTAATTAATGAGTTTGGATTAATTTAGACAGCTGGCTGCAGGGACGGATATTTGCCATTCATTCGGTGAAAATCTCACCCTCACGCCTCCCTGGGACTCAATCTACATACACAACCTAGAACTGAAGATGAGGGGGAAGGGACACAGAGCCATTCTGATTTTGAACCTGGTTACACAGAAGTAAGTTCCAGTGAATTTCAGAGAACCGGATTCCCAACGAGAGCAAATAATAGACTGAAGCGGGCCCCCACCGCCCCACCAGCCGGAATTGGCCAAATTCCAGAATGCACCGACTTCTGCGCGGTTTTAAAATCTCGGTTAGCTTAACTGTTATAAGGAGGTTTAAAAAAAAAAAAGTGAAGAGAGTTTTAGCGGGCAAGGTCTCTCGGCTTCATCCGCCCTCCTCCTTCCGCATATGGGTTTGTGGAGCAGATTTGCCCCCAACTGGATTCTTCTAGATCGCAACCCGGATCGAAGAGCCAGGAGTTCCCTCGCGGTTCTAGTTCAAGGAGTCAGGGTGTCCAGATTCGCGATTCCGTGGGGGAGGGGGGCGGGGGAAGCGTCTGAGGCGGCGGCAGGGGAAAGATTTACACCTACGCCATTCACCTTTTTCCGCAACTCATCTCCTTCTCCTAGTTTGCAACAACCTTTCGCCGGAGGGAGGGGGGAGGAGGAGGGGAGAGGGGGTTGGCCGACGCGAGTGCCCGGCAGAGCGCGTTCAAGTCTCAGTCCAAGGCGGGCGCGGGGGAAGCGGTACTCACTGTGAAACAAGCTGCGTCCATGGATCATGTCTGTTCCTTACACAAGGGGCTGCGCTCTCCACTAATTCCATCTAGAGACGGGAGGGCTTCCACGGTGGAGAGCCGAGCAGCCGGGAGCCCACGCGCGCGGCACACGCTCAGCCCAGAAGCTCGACGTCCCCCTCTGCACTCGCTCGCGCTCTCGCCCCGCCGTTTGGCAAGGAGCGACCATTTCCACCGCTCGGCTCCAGAGCAGCCAGCTTCAGGGGCTAGCAGCGGCCGCCGCAGCCGCCGGGAGTCTGCATAACCGGCCAAGAAAGGCGAGGGAGGAAGAAGAGACGCAAAAGCTCGACTCCGGGCGACGGCAAACGGCCGCCAACAGGGAGCTCCCAGGCTCCGGCGCGGAAGGGAGGCGGGCTTCTCTCCTCCCGCTTTAATCGCCAGTTTCCCACACAGCAACCAGTCTTTCGGAGAGAATTTGGAGGCCGAGCTCGTCCGGCCTTTTAGAATTATTACGGCGCACAGAAGGGAAGAAGCCGGGTGGGCCTGTCATCAGTTCCCGGGTGGGACGAGGTGGGGTGAGGACCCCAAAGTGGGAAGAAAAGGCTTCTCCAGGGAGAGGGGGGGAGGGAAGAGAACAAGGGAAGGGGGCAGAGGGCAAAAATGGGCTCACCCAGTGGGGGATTTAGTCATCTTTGGGGGCCCGCCGCGCAATCCTTATTATTAAAGGCGAAGCCCTTTAAAGTCAGCAAAGCTCATGTCGCCCGCCTCGTGGCAGCACATCAAGCCGAAGTAAAAGTGCGTCTCCTCCGGCCGGAGTAGTAGGACCAGGAAAGGAAAGAGAGAGAAAGAAACAAATCACAATTCAGCCCAGAAGCGATTTAACCCAGGAGAATCTCTCAAGCAGCGATCGGGAGCGAGACCCCGGAGGGCCACGCAGTCTTGGAGGTGCCGCCGCCGCCGCCGCCTACCGAGCGCCCTTCAGTGTCTGCCCCAAGCAAGAGATGGCGCCTTTTCCACCCTCGCCAACCTGCGAAGGATCTTCGCTCTGCGCGCTGCAGTCTTTCTGGGTCCAAGAGCAAGAGTGGGGCGGGCTGGAGACACTGCAATAAAAGTTTAGTGTCAGGCCGGCGGCCGCCAATAAATCTCTTTTCCTCCGTCCGGAGGTAGCAGGGGAATAGACCTGCTCCGGGTTCTTTTTCTTCTCCAGTAAGATCCCTTTTTTCTTCCACCCTCAGGGCACCATCCGAGACTGGGCTGCGAAGAGAGATCGCCGAGGAGAAGGGGAGGCGGAGCCGGGATGGCGATCCTGAGCGCAGCAGCGGGAAAGGCAGATTCCCTTGAAACGGATTCAACTCTCCTCTTTTTTTTTTTTTTCACTCGGTGGCTTCTGCGCTCAGTCCCCCCACATACACACCGCAGCCGCGCCAAAAGGACGAAGTCCGCAATAGCGGCTGCTTTTTCACGCACAGGGATTTCCTTGCCTGCAGCCGCCGCTTCTTCTCTCGCGCGCCGTCAGTGGCATCCACGCAAAAAGAAGAGCCGCGTGGGGAGGGGGAGAGGAGGGGGCGGGGTGAGCGATGAGAAATAGCCGCTGAATAAGGCAGGGCCGGGAAGGAGGGGGCAGTAGGAGAAATCTAACCGTAGCTTCTGTGAGTGATAATCCTCCCCACCTGCTGCTTGCGAAGGTGCTGCCGGAAGGAACAGAGTAATATATACAAGCTGAAACAGGAAAAGAAAGTCCAGTTGCGCAACCGCCCCTCCGGTAAAAGCCGAATCTATAGGTTTAAAAAACAAAAACAAAAATTGAGTGGGAAATTTACCAAACCTTTTGCAGCGTTCCCCACGAAGCAAGTGGGCAGATCTGTTTGCTTTTCATTGGGAAGATCTGCGGCGTGGAAGTATTTAGATAGCAGATAGTCAGAAAACTCCAAAATGGAAAAAAAAAAACCAAAAAGTGTCCTGGAAGAAGAAGAAATCCTAAACGACTTCCGTATTTGTTGCGAAGAAAATATATCACCCGGAGTCGAGCTGGACAAAAAGGAGAGGAGGCGGCGACTGTCCTTTGATTTAGCCCCACCAGTTACGGCGGAGATTCCCAAGTAAGCCAAAAGTCAGCCGCCTTGGCAGTAATACGCGAAGCCTCATCCAAATGATCATTTTCGGCGTGGTCCAAAAATAATGTCACGACGGATCCCATGCAGTGCCTTGCAGGAGCGTTTCCTTAAGGGGTGGGAGGGGCGTCTTTGAGAAACAAGAAGTCACAATCGGCAAAAGCCACTTCTCCAAACCAGGAGCCCGACAACTGCGATCCAAGGAGAGGAAAGACAGATTTCCTGGAATAGAGATAAGGGGAACGCAAAACGATGCATTCTGTATAGATCTCACTTCTTGCCCGGGCTTTGTGAGCTTCTGCAAAAACGTCCAACCCCAGTCATAGCTAACCTGATGATGTGAAATTTGTGGATTTTAGGACAGGAAGCCCATTGACTTAGAATTCCCGGTCCCAGATCCGCTTGTTTGCAATTTTCCGGTCATTGCCAAAGTTAGCCCCTTAGCCGCCTCAAATGGATTGGAGTTTTAACTTCCGCTGGGCTCCCAAATCCTTTTCTTCTAAGGAAAGTGAGCCGCCTAATCTGCTTTTCGCTTCCGATGAGACGCAGGGCTTGTGGCTATTTCTAAACACAAAGGCGAGAAGCCTCAACCGACGATGTTCTTATTGGGAGCTGGGACTAATATTCACGCCTCCGGTGGAATTACCCAATGCGTTAACGGGAGCCAGGCGCTTAGTCATAGCGATTGTAGGATCCACGCTCTCCGCAATGATGCCCAAGCAGGTACAAGAAGAGATCAGAGCTTATCTTGTCGGCTTGGAGAGGACTCCTTTTTCTTTAACATATATTTGCCTGAATTATCTGCAACCAAACGGCTCTTTTCTCAAGACTCAAGGCACTTTCATTTTGTGTCTGCGGGTTGCCCTCTGGAGGGTGTTTTTTTCCCAAATTCGGCCCCAGTTGTCACCACATGCAGCTCCACCAACTTCTATAAATGTAACAACGTCAAGATTTTCCCCCTCCCCCCTTACTCCCTTCATCAATAGGGTTAGAACTGGAGCAAAAGACACGATTTGTCTGAAAATTTCCTGCAGGAGAATGCAGGTAATCACTGCACTTGTAGGGAGGGCCATTTTTGGAGTGATGGTTTCTTTGCAAAGAACTATTGTCTAACTTTCTTTTAAGTGTAATAGAAAAAGAACTAAAGGGGTTGTGTTGATTCTCTTCCATCTGGATGTGAAGGACTGAAAATAAAGGCAGCTAACTTGGGAAATGGTTCAGAAGCAGAAAGGGATCTGGAAAGCTACAAGTCCATATTTCTTGACAAAATGACCTTCATTTAGTCACTTTTCCTCTCCTTACTTGGATTCCCAAGATACTGAGTTCACAACTTTGCTATATTTACATTTACAAATATTCACTATACCTCTGACTTGCTGAAATATCCATGGAATCACATTAACTGAGCCTAGACTTAATAAGATTACCTGGTTGGTACTTGTGGCAATTACCACAAGATACCAGAGCTGTAGTGTTATGGAAGGAAGGAATTAAGAGACATCCCTTCGGGGCAGACAGAGTCAGTTTATTATTGCAATAAGGTTCAGATAGGTATCGCTACCTCAAAATCCGAGCAAAGTAATGAACATGAGATTCCAGTTTTATATAGTTTCAAACAAAGGATTCTGCTAACACAGCAATTCATATGATCATATACATTTGTCATTTTTAATTGACATTTCCTAATTACTAAGTTTCATATTATTCTTTGCCAACAGTCATAATTCTTCATGTAAATCACTGAAGCATAGATTCAAATTATCTCTCATTAATATTACATGTGGTCATACTTGATCTCTTTAACCTTCAAACTGTATATCACCAAATGTCTCTTATCTCTGACAACTGAGGGGTCCCTCTCTGAATGTTTCTACTTCAAAGGAACTTTTGTTCTGCCTTTGTACTGTCTCAACTGGTTAATTTGCAAGCACATTTTCTTTCCTACAATACTATGAATAAAGAGGGCCCTTCAGTGATCATCCAGCTGGACCCGCTTACCTACATTAGTAGGTTAGGCTAGGAAGATGAAAATCGTTCTGAAAGAAAGCAGTTGCAAATCTATTATAGGCTATGCCAAGAATATCATTTATTTGTATCAATGAAGTCAAAGCTGGATTTAGACAAAAGCTGAGCAAGCTACAGCTTCAGGGCTTCTCTGGATTATATTTGTAGTGAATGCATCAGGAACCCAAATATTTCTAAAAAGCATCCAGCTTCTATTTCTTTAAATACCTCAGAGAAGTTAAAGGCCACATCTGCTACTTCTCCTAGTGTATGGGCATTATTGATTTGCAGGGTGGAAGCAAACCTGCATTAGGTTTAGGCTATTTAGTTTCATAACATCACTACAAATGAACACCCAATAATTAGTGGTGAAATCCGAACCAGTTTGCTACTGGTTCGCTGGCCGCACATGTGCAGTACACACCAAAAGGAGGCTTGGGAAGGTAAATAGAAGGCGGGAATCAGCTGTGCCACACGATTTAGCTAAACCCCGCTGTACAGCTGATCCCACCCCCTGCTGTGCAGTGCGCGCCAAAAGGAGGCTTGGGAAAGTAAGTAGAACAGCGAGGGGGGGATCAACTGTGGCATGCTATTTAGCTTTGCTAGAAAACAGGATTTCCTGCTTTCTAGCAAAGCTAAACCCCACTGATCATCGGAAATATTGGTTCGGAGGAACTGGTAGATTTTTAAACTGCCGGTTCAACTGAACTGGTAGCTTTTTCTTTACTACCAGTTCACCCAAACTGGTAGTTTTTATCACTACCATTCTCCCAAACCAGAGCGAACCAGTAGCATTTCACCCCTGCCAATAATCCTGTTTGCTTCTTGGTTTTTCTGACTTTTCTGGGGAAAAGTCAGAAATTCAAGTTGATGGCAATAATCTAGATCAGAGTTGTCAAACTCAAGGCCCGTGGGCCAGATCTGGCCCATGATGTGGTTGGATCCGGTCCATGGCGCCATCCTGGAAAATGTAAGGGACTGGGCCCTGTCACTTCAGCCTGCGGTCTACCCACGTCGCTTTGGCCCAGTCTACCCAATGCGAATAGGAAACATCAGGCCAGCATGGCTTCAGCCCAGTCTACTCAATGCAAAGAGGAAAGATGCCAGCAGTTTGGGGAGTGGTGTCAAGCTGGTCATGCCCACCCAGTTGGCCATGCCCACCCAGGCCCCCAAGGTCAACCACAGCCCTGATGTGCCCCTCAGTGAAATTGAGTTTGACACCCCTGATCTAGATCAAAACTACCATCTAGCTGACTTTTTTTTCACCTCACTATGGGCAATTCTGTCTCAAGGATTAATAACATTGTTAATACAATGTTAATTATGAATTGAGAGCCAGTTTGATGTAATAGTTAAGGTATCAGGCTAGAAACTGAAAGATCATAAGTTCTAGTTCCTCCTTAGGCACAAAGCCAGCTGAGTTATCCTGTGCCAGTCATCCTCCCAGCCTTCAGAAGGAGGCAGTGGCAAACCACTTTGCCAAGAAATCTGCAGGGATTTGTCCAGGCAGTCACTAGTAGTCGAAAAATGACTCAAAGGTGCCAAAACAAACAAACAAACAAAAGAAAAATGTCATAGAAATATCTGCTTGCATCCCTGTGAGTGCCAAGCAAAGCTGCAGAGCCATGTTTTTATGTCCTTCCAGAAGGCCAGTAGAATGGGAACCTATCTCACTTCTGGGGGCAATGGCACAGAAGGTTTTCTTCCTGAATTACTTTACTTTGTTGTAATTTTAGATACCATACTTAATAGAATTTTTAAAATAGGCTACATCCTGAATCTCACTTATAAGATACTAGTTATTTTATAAATGTATTTTAATATTGGATTGGATTGGATTGGATTGGATTGGATTGGATTGGATTGGATTGGATTGGCTTGGGCTGGGCTGGGCTGGGCTGGGCTGGGCTGGGCTGGGCTGGGCTGGGCTGGGCTGGGCTGGACTGGACTAATGGAACCCACAACATATTTTCCCTGTCTGACTGGTTGGGAGAGGATGATGAAATGGATGGTTCTGACTTCATGTCATGTAGGGCTTTAAAGGTGATAACCAATACCATGACTTGAACCCAGAAGCAGGCTGGGCTGCAGCTCATGTGCTTGAGCTGATATTACATGTGCCAGTCTTTGGGAACCCCAAATTGTTTGATTGGTCTCACTTTGTACCAACTGAAGCCTCCATATACTTTTCAAGGGTAACTCTATGTAATGTGCATTGAAACAATCCAAATAGGAGATGACCAGAGCATAAATGACCGAGTGGAAAGCCTCCGTATCCAAAAAAGGGTATAACCTTTTTGTTATACACAGTTGAGCAAACTAGCCACAACTGCCACAACTGCCACCTAATCTTTGAGCAGGAGCTGTGAGTCTACTAGAATCCCAAGATTATGCATGGAGTAATTCAACCCCATCCAAGATCAAAGATATTAATTTTCCTGGATGCAGACAGGCATATTATATTTAAGTAATATACATATAGCTAATAGTTTATCATGTAAGTGAGATGATCTTGAATTGTAACTCGCATCACCTTTGACTACTAATTATAATGGGTCAGCTAAAATACAGATTACCTACTTCCTTTATATAAAAATGACTTTTTCATTAAAATAATAATGAGATAAATATCAGTAAAGCCAGGTGATATAAAAGTACTTTCTAATACCTAGTGCTTTCTTTTCTCAGATACAGTGAGTGAGAGAGAAGAATTCTGCTTTTTCACACAATGCTGCCCTAGAACAGGGATCCCCAACCCCTGGACCAAGGCCCATTACCGGGCTGTGGCCTATTCCGA